GGTTACCTCCCCCCTGCCAACCAGTACCCATATTTACACCTGGAAAAGGTGAGGCACTTTGGGCCTATAGTATCTTGCTCGAGAACAAAATGCAATGCTCCAACACTAGACATCAAAACTGGACTAATGTCGAGTCCAGTGCACTAACCATTCAGCCACCATGCCTCCTCCTCTGATCCTTATGATTAGAGAGGGGTGAGTGGGGTCAATTGGGATTAGGGTGGAACCCTTATAACATTGCGTAACCAATAGTGACTTACGGCAACTCAAGGCGGCTTAAGGCAACTTAAGGCAACTTAAGGTCCCAGAGTAGGCCTACTTGATGGTGGCTTCAAACAGTTTCGTCCTTTTCATACACCAAGTCTTCAATGGATCATACTCTATGAACTTTTTCTGTGTGGTACCTGGCAAATTATTTTTCTTTAAAAGTTGCCATCGTTGTTTTGACATTTAAGATGAATGTAGAGAAACAGCGTCTTCAACATTTTTAAGAAAACGTCAATTTCAACTTTAAAAGATCATTACATAGTAATTGCCCTATAGATATTTTACTTTACGCAAAATGAAGTAAAAACTGACTTGAGTTTCGAAGCCACCATCATTTTGATACCTTAAAGTGTGGAAATATCGATTCATGTAGAAATTGCTGTTTTAAGAGGAACAAACCGATTTTGATCCCCCTTGATAATTGAAGTTTTCGATTAATCCAATTGACGACAAGAAAACTTCAATTTCACCTAAAACAATGACATATTTCAAATTATGTTATTAACTTCAAATTTGTGTCAATGGCCAACACACAGCATTTTTCAAGTTTACATGGCCATCACGTAATATTCTATTTACTCTATAAACGTCAATGAAATACCAATTAGCTCTCTAGTGGAATTTTCTTGAATTTTTTTTTCTCCTAGTCGTTCCTTGCAAACAAAGTTGAGGTCATAAATAGCCTCTTTCTTCGTAAGAATGTCAGTGCTATCGTCAGACACATCTGTGAATCTGAATCCGCCATTCAGAAATTGTGCAAAAGGCGCGATTCAGTGCTTAACAAACACAAAAGTAACATTTTCATTTTTATTTGAAAGCCTACCCGGTATTTTATTGGTGTTTCTATACTAATTTGTTCTTATTGACTGGGTGGGAGGGCCGGACGTGAAAAATGTTTGGTTCTCAGCCATGACGCATGGACCTAACTTCCGTCAGTCCGTAAATACCATTTCTAACTGAGTATGACCACATGGCCAGGTCTTTAGACTAGTAACCGAGAAAAAAAAAAACATCATGCAAGCGAACAAGTAAAAACCATCAACCATAACAACAATAACAAAGCAAAATACACCACTAAATTGAAAAAAGACAAAAGAAATAAACACAACAACAACGACACATGTTTATATCTGATAAATAAGTTTTATTATTATACACTGTAGTCACCATCTGTCTTCTTATTGGCTAAACGCCCACAGTTAATTCTGGGAAACAGCGCAACCTACAGATTATTCACTAATCTGTTCCCACAGACTATTGAATAATCTGTAGGTTGCCGCGCAATGCATGATTTCCGGTGGAGCAATGTCAAGTTCTCGGACAGCGAAGTAAGAATGGCCTCTCGATTCGCTTCGTCGACGCAGCGAGAATTTGAGAACTGTACTTGAAGATAAAGATTCGGAAAATACTAAAAGATCGACAGTTTTCATCAATGCTACTTTCTTTAGAAATACATTTAATTTTTCTGCACTTTATTGTTTTATGTAAAAGTTTGTTTACCATACCGTTGTACATTTTTGAGTGTTCGAAAATAAACAGTGTTCGCTGCGATAATGCGTTTGGCGTTATTTTCTTTAAAACAATGTATAATAAAACAATTATTAGATGAGGTTTTTGTGATATCCGGAATAATCAAGGTCTCGGTTAATGTTATCAGCCTCAACCTTCGGCTTCGGCTGATAACACTTACCTCGACCTTGATTATTCCGGATATCACAAAACCCTCATCCCATAATGGTTCATAAATAGACGAGACATTGTGAGCTGGCCACTGTCTGAAACATAAAGAAATTCTACAGCTGTTGTTTCGAACGTTAGTCAATCGTCAGCGCGAATAATTGAAAATTTTCTGACGAAGGGCTAACGCTTGAAACGTTCGCTTTAGAAACTTTTTACGATTGGTGATTCACATTATCAACTCATTTGATAAAACCATATTATCTTATAACAGCCCCCAACGATGCAGCACCCACTTTACAGATCTCTATGTGCTATGTTAAAGCCGACAGAGAGAGCGATTTATGTTCTCCCACCGAGATCGGCATTCAATTAAGACACAAAAACGGAATATTTATCTTTTTGGATTAACAAATAGAGGAGCCTTGACTGTGCTCTGTTCTTTTGCAAAGCACGCAGGGAGCAGCTATAGCGGGAGATAAGCGAATGAAAAAACACGAGACGTAGTCGAGTGTTTCTCGTTACATCTTTATAGAAAAAAATCTGTTGAATTCCCCACGCATTTGTTTCAGTTTTCAGAAGAAACTTTAATTCCAAAGCAAACATAAGTGTTGAATTCAGCACTTTTGCGAGGAGTTTTTTAGTCTTATAACGAAATCTGAAAGCGAAATTCTCAGTGCAATCCAGCCGAATTGTAGCTTATAAAAACACGTAAGTTTTTTCACGCGACAATTACAAAACAAACTGCTCAGGGTGTGTGTTTGCTGAAAGAACGTCGACAGCCGAATTCAAAGGAACAAGAAGACTGCTCGAAAAGACAGCGCCGTAAAACTCGGTTGCGCTAACTGATGTGGCCTTCCACTCCACGCATCGGAAAGGATTTCAGAGCAAGCTCCCAGTTCTACCCACTTGAGGGGCGGGGTGTAGTGAAACTGGTTGGTCTGATAATAATTTTACTTTTTTCAGCTGACCTCGGATGTCCTAGAGGGCAGTGGCATGCAGTACTATTGTACCACCACCCTATCCCACATTTCTTCACACACGTATACCCTGTATGGCCATTGCTATCTTGATCTCCAGTAGTAAGTGTTTGCCCATTGGAATCTTTCAATGGCCCCCAATCGTTTCCTAAGCAAATACAAATAGAGAATTTTATACTAATTCAATGGATTTAAAAAGTTTGAGCTCAGTAAAGAAAATGAGAAATAGCAAGCGATGCATGCAGGATATCTCTTCATCAGTGTTTTTTCTAACTGGTCAAAGACTAACTAACAAAGAAGCCTCAAATGCTGAAAGCCACTAAGCATCAACGAAGTTTAGGGGCGAAACGACTTTTTCTAGAGTTCCTAGATACTTCTTCAAAACCTTTATCGGCGTTTCTTCTCTTATTCTCATCGCTACTTTTTTTTAGCTTCAGACCAGCAAGAATATTTCCTCCCCAGAGACAGGGCATTGGAGATGCAACAACAAAAACAACATGGCAAAAAAGAAGAAAACAACGGCAACAGCAAGAAGCCATCGGCAACAATTAAAAGAAAAAAAAAACAAAGGAAAAAGAAGGATAAGAACACTGACTGACACTAACTAATACAAACCGTATTCCTAGGTTAGATAGCCGAGACAGAATCTGAATCATGAATCCAATATTTTTATCCGTGACATGGACTGCATCTGGCATGTATCTTTAGGCACATACTCCTCATTCGAAACAATGTACAAATTACAGAAAAATGGGTTGGCAAGGTGTGTAATATCATAGAAGCGTTATCATTACCTGACACCTCCACCCTCAGTTTATACCAAGTGTCCTCGCTCTCGACTTCGAAGTGGTCAAAGCGGAAACGATGAACCTCAGAGTTTTCCATTTTCCAATAAAGATTAAGTTTGTAATTGTCACTTTTCGTCAGGCGATGCACTTTGTCCAACCCGAGCCAAAAATCTCCATATAGATTTCCAAAACCATTCTTGTAGGCAATCCAGTCTCTATTGAAATCGATGGAGTCACTACTTTTCCTTTGGAAAACCGTCCATCCCCCTTGGCTTCCTTTTTGGTTACAGAAAACATCAAAGGCACCTTCACCGTCAGGGTCAATTGTATAAATTTCATCGATATGATGTCTATTTTTGTACACCTCAGCACAGTCCTTATAAACTGGAGAAAAAGTATTTAAATTAATCATCGAGAGGGAAACTAAAAATCTCTCTATGGTGTGTCTTTCCGGATTTTCTACTCTGTTTTCCGACTAAAACAAAGTAGTGAATTATAACGTGTAAGGCAGCTTTTAACTCACTAAACGCATCGCTATCCTCTTTAAAAGATGTTCTCATGCAAACGTAGACAAAATTTAAAAAAATGCTCTTTGGTCATGAGCAGGACATTGTTTTCAATTTTGTTTAAGACTTGCTTTAGAAGAGAGTAAGAGAAACTTGTTAGTTTGTCTCAAATATTCATCTATGTTTCAAAAATCAACCAAAAAATGCCTTCTCCAGATAGGACCCACACAATCCTTTCGCGCCAACGTTTACGTCGGAAGTATTACGAAGATGCATATAATATGTACTTATTAACTGAATTGGAGGGCTGGACGGGTAAATATTTGGCTCCATGTCATGACGTTGCACGAGCACAAACACAAAAAAAAGTCTGCAATTAAAACGTTTCCAAGATTTTTCTTAGCAGGGCAAAAAACTTTCTATTCCCTGAAAAAGCGAGTTTTTTTTAGTATGGTTTTCTAGGGGAATGCGTGAGTGGAGTCGAACGGTTTGTACAATAATTTTCCGCATGCGAAGACGTATATAGACAGTCATTAAAAAATGCACGATGCAATGCATTTATTGACCCTATGGTATTTTTTCATCCTTTTACCTAAAGTTTTGAACGATTTTTGAAGACTTTGACTCTGGTATTGATTATAGTCTGAGGTATACAGGGATGCCAAAATCAAATATTGAAAAAAAATGCAGTTTAACTTTTGTATACCTAACGTTTAGAGTCGTCCCTTATAAGTCAATAAAAGATGTCAGTGTGGTCGAAACATAAACAGTATTTTGCAATTCGCTAGTGTTTTATAACAGAGTACTGGTGTTTGGGAGATCGTTTCTTATACTAGCTTTTTTTCTAATTATAGACGCAGGAGTGTTTTTTACCGATAATTTATTGTTTTGAAAATTATCTACTTCTTGTTTTGCATACAGGATTGCCGTTTGGCAAGATCAATAAGGAATGCAGACTTCTGAGATATTTGGGAAAACATTGACGTTGGTTTGTCTGCACGTCACAACGTTATATCATTGAGCAGTTCTTGAGAATACATGGGTATTTTACAACCTCATGAGAAGTGTTTTGAGTAATTTGGACTGAGATGTTCAAAGAAGTGTTAGTGTCTGATTTGCTTGAGAATGGGATTGGGAGTTTAACACGAGAATTTCAATGAATTCGTTTAACAGAAATTAAATTGCAGATGTTCGTTTTGTTATGTGACCCAGAAAGGAAGAATTGAAAGAGTTATCCATTCATTTATCTATTTATATGGTGTCTCAAGTTTAGAGCCTTATATAGTATATAATATCGTGCTCTACAAGATTTAACCTCGGCAGTCGTTTCCAGCCCCGTGAAATTCAGGTTTACAAACGCACTTGAAAGATCCCTTGTTATTTTCACAGATGGAATTTCCATGGGTACAGTAGTGGATATTTCCAGCGCATTCGTCAATACCTGAAATCAGAGCGGCAATCTGTTTATATTCGTAAAAATCAAAACGCTATGATAAAAGAACTATTTTCAAAAATTTGCTAGCCCAAACAGTTAACAACGTGTCCACGTGAGATCCAAGCAATATCAAAATTTGAGTCTACATGGTACCCTCCAGAATTTGATACTATTTTGTGTACATACTCGTATTAGTCCAAGTTAAAAGCCTGCCAAATATTTTTCCCAAAGTCCAACCAGTTCAGGAGATACAGTGGTTCGAGTGAAATGACACACAATTTTAAGTAAAATCATGGTAAATTCGTCCATGAAGCTTAAGACGTGCTCAGAGACTATTGGGTGCAGATGTGATTAAGAATCTTTGCCAATTTCAAATGAATAGTATATTCATTCGAATCTACTAAATTTGAAGAGGATGCGATAACTATGTTCGAAAATATTAATTTTTTACGAAAACCTTTAAAAATCGAGATTTTTCATGATTCGAATTTCTAGTGAAAATCGCTTAAAATATCTCGGATGCGGCCGTGTCTATGCTCAAAATTATTCCGTTTCCGTAAAGTTTATTTGTTTACGAGTATATAGAGGTGATAAAATCTGTCTGAAGTTACGTAGGTATAGCCATGCGAAACCGATATTTTGTATCGGAGTTTCGCTCACTACCACGGGCGAATGACAAATGGAGACTATGACCGTGGTCTGTTGATATCTGGTTAAACATGTCACTGATTCTGGTGAGGACATTTTGGGCTCATATCATATTTGAATACACAATATTAGATTTATAAATGTACCTGATGAAATAAATCCAATTTAGAGTGCTAATAAAAGTACACATGCCAAGTCTGGTGTACGCGAGAAACTACCGGCCGGTCGCTGACTTTATACACTCAACCGTATACAGCACCTTAGAATGATGGCTGCTGCTGCAAACTGCTCAGAGAGTTTTCAAGACTCACACTGGCCACTTGTTTGGATGATCAGTCGTTTGAATAGATAAGATAGAATGTTTTACAGGGGGTCTTTACACATCGACATCGGTCTGTTAGTAGTACCACAGAGCACCCAAGGTATCAGGGTATTATTATCAGAGAATTACCCCCTCCCCCCTTGGTGTTTCTGAACCAGAAATGCTGATTTGATTTTGTTGTTTTGTTTGGGTTGGGGAATAATACATCTATTAATGATATTATACCCAATTAATAATATCCATATATTATTAATTGGCTTATTAGTTTTTTAAATCATAGAAAGCAGAGAGTTGTTGTCGATGGTCATAGTACTGAATATATTTCTATAAATAGGGGTGTTCCTTAAGGTAGAGTACTGGGGCCGGTCTTATTTTCTATTTTTATGAACGATATCCAAGCTGTTAATACTAATAAGAGTCTTGTAGTTAAATTTGCTGATGAGCGGCACACAGTCTCGCTGTAATTAGATAAACATTTCCTGCATATCCCCAGAAAACCAAAATAATAATACTATTTTAACTCGAAAGCATGACAAAACTAAACAAATGCTGTGTTCATTCTAAGAAGTAGCCAGTATTCCGACACAGCATTATTACAATGAGTTACTTGTTCAGTCTCGCAAAGCACACCGAAGTGTAAGTATATTTTCTCGACATCTCCCTGGATATCCCTTTGTACAGTTTCTGTTTGCTCTGATGTTCAGGATATTTACAAACTTTACTTGGCTGCCATCCCACCCATCCCAAGGCAAATATAAGAAACATAATTTACTGTCTCCAGGGAAGCCTCGAAACAACCATACAAGTGCTCTTTTGTGCTGCTAAAACAATTCTTAACGATAAAAATAGATCTAGCGCTCTTGTTTCGAACAGAAAGGTTACATTCTTTCTTAAGCGATCGGGATCTGCCATTTCACAAAAGAGCGACCAGAAGTGCGACCACAAGAGCGTGGTTACTATTGCGCATGAGCAGAATATCATTTGCAACGAAAACAGAGTTAGACGGTAGTATGCATGAGCAGACCATTATTTGTAGGCAGTTGTTTGCAGATCACGTGGTGGGCTCCCAGCCAATGAAAATGGGGGAAAAATCCATGGAATGATAATATGAAATACCTGTGCAGTTATATCCATCGCCTCTGAAAGCAGGATTAAAGGAGCAATTGAACGATCCCTTGCTATTAGAACAAGTGGCGTTGTCCTTGCTACAATTGTGGATATCTTCGGCGCACTCGTCGATGTCTGAAATAAAGCAACAGTTGTGTTTATTGTCGTGACAAACAAAAAATTACGAGCAGAGAAGCGATCCCTCGATATTTTTTCCACTGGCACAATCCTTACTGCAGTTATGGGTATTGCTAAGACAGTCATTAATGTCTCAAATGGAATCAACGGACCATACTCATACACTGAGGCTGCAGGGAAAAAAGGAAGGGCGAAGTGCTCCAATATAATAGTATCATCTTGATAGTCTTTGTCTTAACTATTCTATAACTTATTTTGCACTGATATGACAAAGCGTTATGTTATGAATACTATTCGGTACCTGTGCAATTGTTTCGGTCACCAGTGAATCCTGGTTTACAAGAGCACTTGAATGATCCCTTAGTATTGTTACAAGTGGCAATTATTGCTGCAGTTGTGGCTGTTTTTATATCACTTGTCGATGTCTGAAATTAAATCATCAGCCCTCATCAATTATATTATTAAAGAATAACAACGATGAAGGTATCGAAATTGGGCTTCCAATCTGAGTGTGCTCTAAAGAAAAGAAGATTTTAACCTTACACTTAATGTGAGAAGTGTGGTGGCCTCATATTTAGTGTGCTCGACTCGGACTTTCACGGTGCCTTGCTTTACTAAGGTGTTTAAATGGGTACCGGCGAATTTGATACGGGAGGGGGGGGGGACTTTATGGGATAACCTTACATCCCATCCATGGGTGAGTGGAAAAACTCCTGGTCGCTTCATTCTATGGAAGCCGGAGTTAAGTGCAAGTCTGATGAACTACTTGGCTCGTAAACAGACTTTACCTTAATGGCTAGTCTGTCATGTCGGTAAAGTCCTACGTTAATGTTAAGGTGCTGGAGTTGAGATGGGAGGAAGCTTCCCACGAGTTCGCATGTTTCGGCGCCGTCGAAGCTTCCCATGGTGACGTCGAAAGTCGTGTTGCGTTTCTTTTGCCAGGGTTGATTCCTGAGAATTAGGATGGAGCTTTCAGCGTAGATTATGATGTTTCTTTCGCCAGCGGAGATGTTATCGTATAGAAGTCGAGTGCTTTGTTGAGGAGGTCTTGGCTGACGGAGGGCTAGAAGTCTTCAATGTCGAAGCAAATGAAGCTGGAGAATTGATGGTTTTGAGCAGATTTATTTTGAACCAGTTAATTACAGATGGGGTGTTTTTCCATTGGTTGAAGTTGGATGTTTTTGCGATGTCGCTGTTAATACGGTCGAGGATGCCTTTGCTGACTTTGCCTATCTCGGATGACGTAGGGCTGATTAGACTGCCGGTCGGTTTGTTTGTGAAGTTTGGCTTATGGTCTTCAAGTGTTGTGAATTCGTCTCTGTTAGCTGCAGTGTCCACTCTGTCGTCAATTTCTAATTTTGTCGCGATGTCTTTGTTTTGTTTATGGATGGCTTGTGTGGTCTCGGGTTGTGCTTTCTTGTAGGACTTCGTGATGTTCTTTTCTATTAGGTCGTTGTACTTGGAGGACTCTAGTTTGTAAAAGTTCATAGTTTTGTCGGCGGCGATTAGTTGCTTGAGCTCAGTTTTGATGAAGTCCGTATCTTCTTTTAGCTTGTATTTTACGGACTAGATCATCTTTAGCATGTCATATTCGAAATCTTTAAGCTCTTCAATGGGGGGTGGTTTCCTGGTAGATTTGAAGCCGTAGGTTTCTTTGGAGCACGGTGTTGTGTCGGGGTTGAGAAATAAGTGGGCTTTCCAGCGCATTCTGTAAAGAAATTGTTCGGTCTTTTCGATGAGTCTTTGTAGGTAGTCGTTGCGTGGTGGTAGAGGAATATTCTTCGTTAAGTATCTGAGGTTTAATTTTTCCATTGCGAATTATCTTACAGTGCTCGACAAGCCTAAACTTGGAGCGGGCATAAATTGTAGAACGTAGATATTCGTAAAACAATGGTAAATACATTAATGTAGAGCAAGGCATGTGTTTGTGGAGGAAATAAACAAATAAAGTACTCATCCCGACAAGCCTGTTTCGTGGTTGCCCATTCATCAGGAGATTTAATATGAATATTCTTTACGATCCCTTCTTATATACAAAATATTAATATGAAAGAGAGCATCTGGCGGCGACGGAAGGCCAGGTTCACAGTCTTGTCAAAAAAGAACGTTTTTAACCCGCCCTCTCGGTAGTTTGCTCTTTGAAAAGATATTCAATGAAGTGAAATAAATGCAAGAACCATGAATTTCTCATCTCTAGTGCATTTAGGTTCTTGCAGAGCCAAAACTGTGAAGTTTTACTGTTATCGTCATTCGTTATTAATGAAAATTGGACGGGACAATAAGTTTCTTAACTGTTCCCGTTTTCTATTTTCTTCAAACATTATGTGCATGAAATATTCCTATTAGCAAGCCTCTTGTTTTGTGGAATTTTAAAAGAGAAATTTCTCTGAAGCATTGATCAAAACGAATTTATTGGCAATAGTTCTTTTAATCCCCCATCCGTGAACAATTTGATCAAGCGTAAAAGCTGTTTGTTTGTTTTGGATTGTCTCCTGAATAATGTTTGCACACCCTTTAAGAACTACTTCGAAAGACTGGTTCATTCTAAGGCCACTAGGAATAACGGTATCCGAATGTGTCGCGGCATTCTGAGCGATGTCCTTACATCTGCGAAACTAGCCCAAGTAGGTGAAGGTTCTTTAATACATCTTATATCGTATTTGCGAGAAAAATATGGTCAAACTGTTGCTAGAGGGTTAACAGGCTCGCAAACATCAGAGTCTGTGTTACTAGGTATCGTTGTCATTTGTATTTCAATCACCGTTGCAAACGATCGGTTTCGATAGCACTTCTAGGCCTCGTAAAGCAGAGAAAATTTTCATGAGCCCTCCTGAAACATAGGTGGAGTAACGTTTCCATATGCTGACTGTGAAGTTTCGCGAACAGTTCATTGGTTTTTTCACACTGAAGATCAGCTTCCATACTGAACAGCATCTAAAATTGCCATTTTTCAAAGCAGTTTTGATAATGGTAATAGAAACTGCAGGAAACAAACTCTCTCCTAACAGTATCAATACAATATCAGACAAGTAATGAGAATAAGGAAAAAAGAAAATCAGGGGATTATCACTTGATCCAATACTAAATTCTCCAAACTGATATCATAAGAATTGTATAGCAGACAGTAAGGAGAATTGCCAATGAGATCTTGGGTGTGAAAGGGTTAAGCTAGC